ATTATTGTACTTCGAACATCCCCACCCGACAGATAATGCATTTGCGAGGCCTCGGTTGCACAGACTGAGTTCAAGGTCGGCTGTGGCATCGTCCGCGGTTATGGCGGCGGTTGTGTTCACCGCGTCCGCCGTTGCCTGTAGCATACGGCGCGCCATTGCCTTTCTCTGCGCATGGAACGTCTGAGGCACTTCGTCCACGAATGTGCCGCACAGTCTGCAAAACGTTCGGCTCGTGGTGCGACTGCTACCACGGTTGTCGACGAACTCGTGCGAGCAGGTTTCGGGATCCTGCGTGTAGTTTTGCTGTCGCCTTTCTGTCGTGCTGTGCCCGCAGTCACGACACGTCTTGCGTACAGTCGTCGCGGTGCTTCCCTGATAGGTGAAGCTAGTGCATCCCGCGGCGCATGCCTGCGGTAACGGCGGATTCGGGGGCTTTTTGGCTCCCCCTTTCGCCTTCGGTCTCGGCACGTAGGTTTTTTCCGGGATACCTAACGACGCTTTGCTTTCCACCGCGCCGTCCCTAAGGACGTAGTACCTGTTGAACCAGGTCAGGAAATCCCTAAGTCCGGCGGAAGGCTCGGACTGGGCAAGGGCCCACGCGATGAACTGGGGCTCCTGGGCGACCGAAGCGTAGGTTCGCCCTTTGTACACGCCAATGGTGAATTTGCGGTCACCACCGGCCATTTCCATCGCGCGGGGCACCGCCTCCGCGTATCCGCTGCTGCTGGCCGCCTTGGGGGTCGGCCTGGGCCACACTTTGGCTGTGGTGCCGGGCTCGGTCACCACATGGGCTGACATTCGGCTGTCGTTCCCTGAAGGAACGTGAATGCCTTCGTCGGACGAACCGGAGTCACTTTCCATTATGGCAAGGTTGGCTGTCCCTTTGCCTTTCCCGCCTTTCTGGGTCGGGAATTTGCACTCCGGATCTCCTGCCCAGTGCCCCGTGGCTCCGCATCGGAGGCATTTCGACTTGGCCTTCAGCGCCCTAAGCTTGGTGGGTCTTTCGTCGAGGGTCAGGTGTGACTTCACGACCTTTCCCTTGCCTTCCCCTTTCGGGGTTTCCCTTTTCCTTTGCCCTTCGCCTTACCAAAGGCAGCATGGGCTGCCAACTCCAATTGGATGGCATGACCAGCCTCAGCGAGGTCTGGGTCGAGCTCCTCCAAGGAATTGAGGGCTATTGCTTCGACTTCATCCAGTTCGAAATCCTCATACTCCGGGTCCCCTTCCGGGTAACCCTCCAAAGGCTCAGCTTGGCCGCTGTCGTCGTCCTCCCATGCCGGGTAGGACGTCTCTTCCCACTCCTGGGGTTCTTCCTCGGGATAATCCTCGAGGTAATCATCCTCCTCGGCTATGGCCGGGTATGCCTTCTTGGTGGAGGGCTTGTACTTGCCTCGGCCCTTCGGGGTGCCGAACTTGCCGCCCTTTCCGGCTCCGATTCTGCTGGTGGCGGCGCCAAGGGCTCGGCCCTCCTTCAGGTGGACACCCGTATAGTGTTCCACCAAAGTGGCTCCTGTGGCCTCAAAACTGGGTCCACTTCTGCATGCCTTAATCACCAGGGCTTCCTGTCTGGTAAGCCCCGACAATTCAAGCAACAACTCGACGCGCATCGGCTCGGATAGCTCGATGCTGGGGTCAAGCGTCTTTAACAGTTTCCACCATCGGCGGCGGCGACTGATGTAGGAGAGCATGCTCTCTCCAGTCTGCCGCGCCAGGGCGCCCGGCCTCTGGCCTGCACGGAAAAGCTCTCTGGCTTCTTCTGAGGCACGGGGAAAGACGATCTCCCGTAGGCTCTGGATGAATGCCTTCAAGCCGCCAGGCGCGGTCATTGCTTCAATGCCGATATCCCGGGCGAGCTCAAAGGCTTCGCCCCGGAGGCCTTCCACGACCTTCTGCACCATTTCGGTACGCAGCTTAACCGCCCAATGGGTCGATTCATCCATGGCATCGTCCCCGGCAGGGTCTGGCTTGATTCCAAGGCCTTTAGAGCGCCCGCTCTTGATGCTTGCTGGGACGAATTCTATCTCTGAGTCACCGTCCACAACGGGTACGGGCTCAGGAATGCTCACTGGGCTGCCCCGGCCTGAGGAACGCTCGGGGCGCGTTGGGGTCGCGATCCCTTCGTCGACCTCTGAAGCTGAGGATCCGGCCTCTAGCCCCGTTGTGGCTTTCTTGCGGGACTTGGCTCGGACCGCGTCTTCATACAGTTTCAGCCTCATACGGGTCCGAAACTCCCAGTCATGGTAGTACTGGGGCTGACCGTCATAAATGTACGATCCTGATCGGGTCTCTAGCGGAGTACCCTGCTGCGAGGACGCAGCGCCGGTATAGCGAAGACCGGCCACAGGCATGGCGCTTACACCTCGACTAGTTACGTGGTACTAAAGCTAAGTACCCCAATGGGTCGAAACAAACCGGGCTCGCCCCAGCCCCCGGAATCGCGCCTCGCGGGCAGGTCGCGAGAGCGTACCCGCTCCGCTACCAGTTTGGGAAATGCGATGGCTGACGCGCTCCTGTTTTCACACTACACAACCACGCGTTAGACTCAAGGGCCCTTTAAGCCAAATGGCATCAGTGTGTTTATCCTAGCACTGTACCTAGGCAACTACCGAAAACAAGGACAAGTTCACAATAAGTATAATTTCATTCATATATGAATTTACGAGAAATCGTGGAATTAAATATAAATCTATGATTCTTTGATTAAGTGAAGTCAGTACAAAAAAAACGCTGAATTGAAGTTGGGTTTGTGGGGCTAGGAGTTTAGGGTCCCAAGGATTAAGATTTAGGGTTTGTAAGGGGTTAGCGCTTAGGATTTATAGGAATAAAGCTTAAAGTTTCTTAAGGTTTAGGATTTGAAGGGTTAGGATTTAAGGTTTGTATTGTTGGGTTAAGATTGAAAAATGATTTAAGCAAACGCACAATGTACCTTACGATGAAGAACCACTGCCTGGCTCTGCAAACTTGCAATGTCGCACGTTACAGCCTCTCTCGTAGCTCCGTGGCTCTATAAAGAAGGGAAAGTCCTGGCCAACGGCTCAGGCTCAACAGCGAAAATCGGAATGCCAGCTTGGTCCAAGCCGTGGCATTAACTTGTGTTCGGGCTCCATGCACCATGACAGGTAGCCTTTCTTCGGGTATACGAAATCCAGCATTACCAAATCCCATTCCTTGAGCTCCCGCTGAAAGGTCCTTTGTTCAAGGATGTCTCATCTCCCTCTCTCAGTCTGCTGCGTTGGTTTTGATCCAAGCTGGAACAGCCCCCACAACCCTGAAGCATTCGGAGCCTGAGTGGCGTTTGCAGCGCCAGCTGGCCCGCAACACCGTAGTACCCAGCCGCTAAGCTGAGGCAGACTGTGAGACTTGCCCAGACCTGTGGCTGGCGTCAGCAAGAGGATTCGCACCGATGGTGCCACATTAAGACATGGGCGGACGAGCAAGACCTGCTGCCTGGTCTGACGCGCGCAACCTGATCAGCACTGCGACGACAGCTGTCTGCACTCAAACGGCAAACTGAGTAGAACTCAACAGCACAACCCCACCAACTGAAATAAGAGTTGCGAGCACTGATATGGCAAACTCTGTCCAGCCAGCGCCATGAAGACAACAAGGCTACCTTTCAACTGCCCCGACACCGAGCCTCTTCGGAGCACGCAGCTGCAGCTAAGTCCTCGACCTCCAGCCCAGCAAGCTGAAGCACTCATGAAATGCTACAAGGCTGCACATCCCCCGACAGCGCAGCGCCAGGTACTAAACTACAAGCACCAGACCTACCTTTCAACTGCCCCGACACCGAGCCTCTTCGGAGCACGCAGCTGCAGCATGCGGATCGAAGCGTGAAGTTTGAACCTGAACGGAACGTCTGGCTTCTCTCGCAAGGCATTACCAGCGCAATCCAACAGACCGTCTCACATGGTTTTTGATATCATTCCGCCGAAGTTGCTACTGATTCCAAGAAAGTCTTCAAGTGGACCAGGGAGCCATCTGCCGCCTGGCATCCAACAGGGATTATTCAGCTAGGCAACTCATATGTGATGGGAGTCGCCAAATACCGGCGCCCTATGAACTAATGCTGCTTAGGAAAGTGATTTAACGCTTCAAACTCTCAGCAAGCCGCTAGACAACGTGCTGGTCCCTCTGAAGGCCCGGAGGTGATGGTAGTCCACAAACATTTCGGGCTTCGCGTTGCAAGTCTCAAAAGCACGGTTACGGCAACCGTAGCGCGTTCAATCCAGCCTTGCTTCATATTCTCTGGCTGAGAACTGCGACGGATCCACGACAGCAAGGCTGCCCGACTGGCATCAACACAACTCGTTATCTGCCTGGGTCAAGCTTGGAGGGCCTGCTGCTGCTGCTGGTTGGATGGAGAAGCCTGGGAGGCCTTGGCAACTCTTAAAGCTGCAACCGTGGTCCCATTGCCCCTCAGTGGTGACTCAACCGAACACTGCAAGAACGACTTCTGGCCTCTGCCAACGCGTGAGGAGCTTCTACCTGCCAGTATGCACCCGACGCCACTCGAGTCGATTGTACAGCATGTGGTTTGCCCGTTACTCTTGGGTCTGTTTCAAGGCTTTGAAACCAAAATAGCAAGTAGATGACGCTTTGCAAATTCTGCTAGGCAAGGCGCCTGGCTACATTCCAGCTCGCGGGTCTTCCGCTTTGGCTGAGCTTCAGGAACTCAGGATGGCTTCACTTGGCTGGTGGCGTCAGCTTCAGCGCGCTCTTTTTTCCTGGCAATCCATTGGTGAGGTCTCTGCGACGTTTGTATTTCATGGAGTTCTTCTCACGCTCTGTTGTCAAACAGTGGTGACTAGTCTTGCAGGAAATGATCACATGACAAAGTGGATTAGAATGTCTCCATCCTGTCCTACTCTCGCTCGGAAGCCTTGCCAAAGCTACTGTATAAGCGCCACTGCTGGGGCAGGAGGGGCTGGGATGGGGTCCGCGACAGCTGTTGTGGCGTTCCTCCTGTCTGCAAGCACATAGGCTCGTGCGATTGGTACATGTGCTGGGTGGGCAGTAAAGAGTGGGTCCAAGCCGAGATAACCCAGCTGCGCTTTGATGTTCCCATACTGCTGCATCGTGTTGGGCGCCAGAACAAACCGCCCCACAACGCCTCCACCACCTGCCAATGCTTGAACACGGGCGAGGATGGCCTGCTGGAGCTGTGTGGGAGTGATCGGATAAGCGCCAGCAACCCACGGTGGAGGCGGAACCACCCCTACAGCAGCTGCATTGATGGCATCAACCATCGCCTGCAAATTGGCCGTGTCCCAGTCTAGTGCGACGGCTGGGTCATCCTCACAAAGGCCCTTCTCGATGTCTTTCGGCAATCCCATCACTCGCAAGCCAGCACCCACTTTCTCCAGCCTGATTTCGAGTTCCTGGTTGCACCTCTTTCGCTTCCGCATCTCCCAATGGCATTGCCAGCCATCGTCAACCGGGCTACAGCGCTTGAGCCTTCAATCCTGTGACTGCAAAACGAACGCTGACCTCTTCACCGTGGCTGACCGTGTGCCATCGCATGCCAAAAGCCTTAAAACAACACCCAAAAAGACCCTAAAAAGGGCCGAGAACAACCCTATAATGCGTGAGGACAGGTATGTAGCGGATTGCTATAGGATTGATGGATATCAGTACATGCTTCCCCACTTGCGCGCGCAGTCCTTTTCTCACTCGCACCCCACCCACCCCCCCACCCCAGGCCTGAATAGCCACCGACCGGGCCCTTCATGCCGTCGTAATTCTCCAGGCCCGAAGTGCGGCGGGCCTGCAGGTACGGGGGTTGCGGACCTGGAACTGAAGCCTTCGGGCCCCGAGCCCCTGAACCCTCAATGCTCAGACCTAGAACCTAAAGCAAAGGCCCTTGACCCACTGAACTTAGTGGGGTTGGGGGGGTGTAGGGGTGTAGGGGTGCAGGGCGGAATACCGTACCCCACCGCATCGGAAGGAACGATACATGCAATACTTATCGGAAGTAATACCGAGAAGTCAAGTGCCGCACCGCATCGGATCGTAACAGCCATGTTTCGAATTGTTGAAGGCGTCAACTCTAATGTCTATAATGGTCAGGCCCAAAGTCTTCAACATTGGAGGGTGTCAACAACTTCAGAGTTTGAAGACCCACGACCCAAGACCTAAGATTTGAAGGCATCAAGGCCATCACATGTGAGAGTGTACCGAGCACTCAGTGGCAGAAGAAGCATGCGAAAGAAGGGGGCCATGCCAGGACAGGTTCGTGCCAGCCTGGCAGCCGACGCGATTACCGGCGAGAGCGATGGTGGATGGTCCAGACGGCAGGGTGCCTCGACCTTTTCGAATCAAGGGCCAGCTCCTACGGATATTGGTGGAATTCAAGGTAAGACAAGATTCTACAAAGGCAACTCAGATTCCTTAAAAAGGAGGCAAGAAAGAAAAGGAACAGGAAAGAATGCGCACATGAATTTTCCTAGCAAAACTATGGCAAAAAGAAAAGGAAAGGGGAAAGAAAAGAGCAAAGGACAACTTCACACGGTCAGCAAGCTTTGGAAACGCGACGCGTGGTTGGGAACTGCCCTTAGGGTCGCGTGAGCGCAATTGACCAGAATGCACCTGTTGAAGGCGAAGGACGTTGCATTGATTCGTGTTGCAAGCCGACCGCTTGGGAGCTGCCCCCAGTCAAGATGGAAGATGCGGGACGAAAGATAGCAAGAACATCTGTTTTGAAAACCTCCTCCCGATACAAGTTCCCCATTCAGCCTAGCAAACACCTCATAAACGCGTGAACTTGACAAATCGAACAAGAAATGTTGTTCTCCAATAGCATTGTTCGAACAGACATTTCACAGCATGCTGATTTGGAAAACAACTTCATACTGCCACTAAAAAGTAAAACGGAGCGCTGCCAAACGTTTGAATTGCCTTCGACAGGAATGTGCGCACATGTTTCAACAAGTGCCGGTTATGTTCGGGCAAAGTGCTGGCTGGCATCGTCGGACTCTTGCGCATGCCATGCATTATTCGAAATAACAATAACAAGAATAACATATAATGACAATATATTTATCAATTATACGAATAGTTTCATGATAGCACCTTGGGGTCTACGAAGAACCGCGAAATGGCCCGGCTTCGGCAAAGCTCCGCAGCAGGAAGCCACTCAAGCGCCTGCATTCTGATGGACCTGAGCCAATGGCATCTCAACCGGACCACGTAACGTAGCTGGGATGACTGCAGAACGACCACTAACTGCAAGCATGGTGGCAGAGGAAGTCTACCTGTGGGCGCAGCGCAGGTGCGCTCGATGTTGGTTGCCTGAACTGTTGGGTTCCTGGATAGCTGTAGAGATGTTTAGGGTTCAAAGGAAGACTTTGCTCTTCAAATGGTTCGGGCTGCGAGAGCAGTTGCATGTCGATGCCCTCCACATTTGGGAAGCGGGAAAGCAAGAAATCTCCGTAAATCCATAGACACCAATATACGTACATACATGCAGCAATATTCCTAAGGAAGCCCAGAGTATATACACCCAGTGCAAAGCAATAGTAGAACTACACCTCGTATGAGATGCCAAAAAAATGCAAGATGCCCCGGTCCCATCCAGACCCACTGTTGGAAGAACTCAGCTCAGGAGATAGCAAGGCCGTGCTCTTTCTGAGCCTCGCCGAGGCCAAGGTGCATCGGGGGCTTCCTTTTCGAGCGGGCTTTGAGCTCACCAGCTGCTTGCTGAGGGATGCTGCGGGTAAGGTTACGGTAAGGTGCTTTGCAGCTCCTTTGGCTGACCTGCCTTGACTTGAGGGTAGTTCCAGTTGACCCTCCATCCTGCCTACATGTACATACAGCGCAAAGCCCTAGTCCCCGCC